AGTCTAAGGTAGGCCCTGGGTAGGCTGCACAGCCTTAGCCTAGACAATGTAGGTCTAGAGGCATGCACTGCCTGCCTGAATTTCGGCTAGTTTTGATTATTTTACATCTAATTGGTTCGACCTTTCTAAGCCTAAAGTAGTATGATGGACAGTATAACTAGTACTATAATGCATTTTTCATGACCTTTGTAATTCGTAAAAATCGAAAGGTCCAATGATTAATCTCAGATAAGATAGTATAATACACACTCCAAGTATCGAAATGCACACCATCGTGTCGGGAATTAATATTTTGACATTAATTATGTCATCATCAGGGATAAAAAATTATCTATATTTGCAAGTTTATATGCACAAGTACCAAAAGTGTTTGACCAATCAAAACATTACCCCTAGTAGGTGACATAGCTATGAATAAACTAAAGATCAAAGCATTCTTACCCTACTGATCAAAGCTACCTACAAAACCAAAGAAAGCTCCTTTAAAGCTTTCAGCCCATTGTTAAGCAATGGGTGGAACCTATGTATAGCAAACGCTTCTTTAAACAATAGTAGACCAATTTTGCGAACTGTCAATAATATTAGTATTATAAAATATTAAACCTAATTTATTACTTAAATTACAAGCTACATTATCATTTTCAAGTATACCTTGTAAACCTAGAACATATTAGAATGCCTCACAATTTTGTATATGATTATTTATAACACTATCAAATCATGAAGAATGTTCTTTAAGTATTAAGCATCTATTTGTCTTACTAATATAATCACTATTACAACCTGGACATTTACAATGATAAACAACAGAGCTCCTATATTCCTTAGGGGTTTGATCTTTAGTAGATATAAAATGACAGAAATTTTTGTACTGCCATAATGTTATGAATTTTACCTCTTTAACTAAGTGTTTCTTTACTTTGTTTAAGAATACGTAAAATGGATTCACCTGTCTTTCCTAGATAAGTCAATCTAACCCAGATCTTAATCAAGCTATCATCAGTAGGCCTATGTATAAATTTAGGTTCATTTAATTTATTGAGTACATGGTTAACAACTTTTAAAGGGTATCCATTCCATGACATAATTTAAAAAGCCTCTACACAAACATGATCTGTGCCAAGTTTCTTGAAAAAGTATTGTATGTTGAAGTTATATCAATTATGCATGTTATGCATGTTTTTCATTGAATTCTGCCGTTTTTGCGGATCAATCCTGAAAAAGTTAATTAACTACAGCTTTGATTTCTTTAATTTAGTGAAGTATTCCCAGCTATAGTAACTATAAGAAAAATATTGCATTTCTAAAAATGTCTGTTTTAAAAAATGTTTTTTGTTATAAGTTTTTCTCACAAAGCAGCATCATCTGAACTACAAAATATTAAAAACACAATGGTGTGCTATTCTTATCGTTGGGCAATATCTTTGTATTTCCAAGATATGAAAATTGCAAAAATAGCACTGATTGTGTGAAAACTACATGTCAAAAACTGGGCAAAACTCTTAAGGCAGTGTCGAAAACTAGCGTAGAAATCGGCGAAAGGATGATTACATTTTACAGGCAGGATACAATTTAATTTTATGAATTTGTAGTTGGAAGGTACGAGTTACATAGGCCTAGACGGCCTATTATAGGCTTATTGTCCAAAAGTCCAAGATTACCTGTTATAACCTTGTAGGTCGAGAAACAGGGACTATTAATATTACCCTACCCTCTACCTAGGACTACATACAATACAAAATCTGTCCCACCCAGATATCTCGTCCGAACATGTTCGCGACCGAAACGGTTCTAGCCTAGCCTAGACTACCTAGGCTAAAACATGTTCGCGACCGAAACAGTTCTAGCCTAGCCTAGACTACTTTGGCTACGTCTAGCCTACACCCTTCTTTCCAGTGCATCAGACCTCATCATTTAAGGCGTGCGATCGCGCACCTAAACTGCTATCAAGGGGTGTGAAAAATTGTTCCCCTTGCATTTCAAAATAACTCATTTCCACAGCCCTCGAAATGCAGACGCAACTTTTGCTGACCACGGCAATTATTTACCGACGTAAAAGATGCTAGGCCTAGGCTGAAAAACGTCTCTATACCGATATCGTGGATCATTATACTTTATTGTGTACAATGTACGAAACTACAAACCGAGCAAACAGTTAATAAACAACGCTTTCCAGACGAAATAACGCAATAATCACATTGCTGTCTAGGAATTAACACTAATGTTTGCCTAACACTATGAATGAACCATTCGTACTGCTTTCTCAGTCCCAGTAGCGTACTGCTGCCAGAGATTATCTATTGAGTTAAAACAACACACCAGTAAACGTTAAAGTTACATGGTTAGATCAAGTGAAAATTACACCTTCCATTGTTTAATAAAGTACAAAACGATTGGAATCAACCTGAAATGAAGACGGAACTCAAAGCAAGTTTTTACAATGGCTGACTCTTTTTTTAGTAGACGTTTATTAGGATTTGGATGTCTTTCGATTCATCAGTGTAAATTATAAATGCATAGGTTCACTTATTCTTTAAACCAGACACTTTTGAGAAACATGTTGCTAATTTAATTACATTGAAAATTTGTAGAGAATAAAATTTAAATTTGTTAGATTTATTTAGGTTTAATTTATAAATATAGGTGAAAATACACTGAGTATGTTCTGTCGCGCAATGAATCTTTGGGCGATCTGATGTCATCACAGCCAAGCACATGTTTGCACATGACCCCACAAAAAAAAACACCAATTAGCTGGCAGAGTTTAGGAGGCGCAACCTGATGTCTGATGTTTACAGCAAGTGGCATCGTGACTACGAAGAATGTGTTGGGGTTTAGTGAAAAAATATCCAGACCGAAAATGCACGTAAAAATAATGTAAAAGCATTCATTTATTGGTAATTAAATTTGCTGTACAGTACAGCAAAACAGCAGGTACTGTACACTGTATGTATGTTAACTTTTTGTAGGCTAGTCATAGCGAACCCACAGGACTCTTCTTCCTAGCTAGGCCTAGGCCCTATGCCTATTTCAGAGGTAGCTAGATACAAAACCGATAGAGGGCGCTATAATTCGTCAATACAAACATTGCGATAGAAAATAGTGCCCCGACGGAGATAGGATATCCAATGTATTAATTGGGTATTTCGCGGAAGCATACAACAATTTGACCAAATTACTTCCAGATAACACTAGTTATTGGCTTTTTAAGCGCAGGAATCGATTTAGTAGAAGTTTTTTTAGTACAACCAATGTTTCGTCGATTTTCTATAATAAAAGGAAACCTTCGCTGGTTTTTTGGTTAACATGTTTGTTTTCTTCAGTTTTTAAACTATATAGATAAGTTTTAAATAATATTTGTGAGCATATTAACTGAAATTGATGGCATAAAATTCTATTGTCTCATCACGTACCGCAGCTAGGCTCGGCTCGTACGAATAGAGGGCACCCTCGTTAATTAACGGCGGCTACACGCAGGGTAAACGATGTTTTCCCCGCTGGCTACCGTGTTGTCTGAGGCCTGCAATTAGGCCTAGAGTTATGCGATTCAATATAATTTATTATACGTAGAATCTATAAGTTGATAAAAATTATTAATTCTAATATCAATAGTAAAATACTAAATTATAATCGTGAGTAATTGTCAAGTATTATTTTAACATGGCCTAAAATGCTACATAATTATACTGTAAGGGACACACTTCTTGTATAATAAAAATAGGAATTAACTCCAGCAAAAAACATATTTAAAATAGCAATATCTCTGCTAACATTGGTCCGATTTACATAATTTTTGTTTTAAAATGCTTCATTCAGTTATGCCTTTCTATTAAAAATAAATAAAAAAATATTTGGGACATTTCAATTATTTTTTGTTTCTAGCTATCAGAGGCTAGGCTGTAGCCTAGCTGGACTACAACAATCTTGTTCGGAAAGGGTTCAATAATAGATATGCTACACTAACCAAACGGATTATGACCGGTTGAGCCGCCGACAAGTTGAGCCGCCGGTCATTTCTATGGAACGCCAAGCGTGTCTCTCAGTAAATGTAGTGCCTAAATTTTAATGACAAAAATAAATTTGAATCTAACAATTCAAAAAATGTAAAAAAAAATTCAGTTAAAAATGTAGTACATAAAAATATCAAAATTCTAATTTTCAATTACACAATACGAGCAAATCAAAGACTGACAAGACTGTGGGATAAATATGTAGCTGGTATCTGGGCAGTTCATTCACTGATGACATCGGCAAGCCGACTACATTCACCGAGAGACGCACTACATTCACTGAGAGACGCGCTTGGCGTTCCATAGAAATGACCGGCGGCTCAACTTGTCGGCGGCTCAACCGGTCATATCCCGGTATTTATTGGGTATTGGAAGAGTGAACTTTATTATTTCTCTACATACTCTAAGGGCCTACATGTAAATATTGGAAGTTAAATTTATCTTGTTGACTTCTGTTGATTGCACTGTATTTATAGCGATTGAACGTTCATCTGCAGTATTTCTTTAATCTCTCCCCCCCTCAATTGATGGTAATATAATTTTTGTTGATATACTTGCTCCGTTTAACCTTTGCTATTCTTTCAATCATTCTTCTCATCAATAGGTTCCTGGTGGTGGTGCATTCCTAGGCTAGGACTGCAGACTTTTCCGGATGAAACCACATTTTGGCCGAGTTAGTTGACACGGCCTATACAACTACTGCTTATGGGCCCATCTAGGCCTAGGTTTAGGGCCCTAGGCTAACTAGGGGACTAGAGCCTTAGGCCTAGTAGTAGGAGGAGAAGACACGGTGGTAGAAAAAATGGAAAAGGCTTACCATACCAACAAAAGCGGGAGGAAAACCTGCCTTCATTAGTCAATGAGAAGCTATGTTTGTTGACTTAATTGTTATTGAACACAAAATATGTACATTATTTAACAAGACAGTTAATTTTACAGGTACTGTTAGAAATGAAAGTGTCAATAAATTATGTTTTTTCAGATACCAACCAAAAAATTTCTTTGCTCTTCACGCTATTTTCGTAGAGGCGTGCCAGGACAAAATGGCAGATGCACAAGCGCGTTGGTGGCTTTTCCAAAAATTGTTATTATTTGAGAAATAATATATATTAATTTTAGAGGTTTATAGTATAAATAAGGCTAATAACTATAATTAAAATACTAAACCATTACATATATTTTAATAAATGTAGTATTTAAAATTATAGAAAGTATTTTCATGATATTGAATGATTTCAAATAAAATAATTACATTCGAGGCCTTCATGTCAAAGGTCATTATATCGCGTAAATATTTTTACGATTTGTTGATTTTATTTAAATTAAACTCATTTGACCGTATTGGACTGTTCTAGGCCTAGGGGTAGCGGGTAGGTTTTTTGGAAGTCTTAATTTTAAAACTTTTTTAAATATGAATATATCGGCCAGTTAATAGTATGATGAATACTTACTTCTGATCCCTTATTACTTACAACGTAAGCCTACTAGGCTAGGCCCTGGGCCCTAGCTAGAGGTCTAGCTAGGCCTTGGCCTGGCATAACCCAGCTAGCCTAGGCTAGGGCCAGGCCCAGGCCTAGGTTAGGCCTACCCTACCTAAGTCCTAGGCTTAGGTAGGCCCAGTTTATACTTACTACTACTACTCTAGTAGTACTACCTAGGTAGCTGGGCTTGTTTAGTAATAATAATTATAGTAATAAAATTCAATGCTAGGAGCCTAGGGGGCCTAGGCCTGTCATCACGGTGTCAGTCAGGACTCATCCATCCCATGTATGCATTCAATCATTTATTCTTAATTAGGCCAAAAATACTCAACCAAATGTACAAATCAGTTGCACACAATTTAGCCAAAAGAGACAGAATCTCAGAATGGGTAGTTGGACATCGCCGGAAAAATTCAGCCCTTTCGCCAAGTGCGTTTTACATGCAGTTGACTCGGATTAATAAATAGTGTTTGTTGTAAATAACACAATGACTCACAGGCCTATTATTAAAACGCCAATAAGAGTTTATCACCCTTGCCTGCATGTGATGGACTATGGTATTGGAAAAAAAAAATATTTTGGGGAAAAAAAGTTCATTTTCTTTTGCATTTATTTTTTAGTAAGTAGTTAGTAGGTATTGTTTATAATCTCAATCATGTATTTTGCTTTAAATATCATGCACAGGTAAACAACCACAGGCTGATTTGGCCTTAGCAAAATAATAAGCCTCCCTCATCACATTTCCAGCCATAGGGTGATAAACTTAAAACTATAAATAATTTTATACTTTAAACAAAAACAAAAAAACAATTAAATAAACAAAAACATATCAACAATGATCTAAAGAATTTTAAAAATTAAATATCTTAAAAATTGAAGAATAAATTAGTCTTAATTTAAAAAGTAGATTTGGTTATTTACTCGAGAGAGCGAGGCCAGTCATATGAGAGAATAGTCACCTTGCCTACAAGTTTAATTCATAGCCTCTTAAACTTTACTAAGGAAAAGTCCTGGGCAGAAAGTCTAAGGCTTTAGTGTGGAGGTAAAGATGATGGTAGTGTATACAGACTACAGATAGTAATTGGTGAAATAAATGAAAATATGAAATAAAAATGTCATTGTATTTATTATGAATGCTTTACCCTATTTTTTCAGGTTGCATATAAATAATGGACAAGGTTGATGCAGTTGTGCCAGATGACAATACAACAGAAATGTTGAATCAAATACGGCCACGCAAAATCCCAAATCAGAATATCGTGTACAGACTAAGGCAAAGGGAAACCCATATACGTAAACCATGTACACAGTTTCATTGTGCACGGCAATTTCATCAAAATATTTTCCCAAACTACACGATTGTCAACTTGAAAAAGCCTCCATGCTTCCTCAGAAAATTCTCCCCTGATGGACAGTATTTCATCGCATTTTCTGCTGATCAAACATCTCTAGAAATTTATGAATTCCGTGGATCTCAGGCAGCAGGAGAACTGCTAAAAAATGCCAATGGTCACATGATTAAAGATGATGGTGATCCTGAATCTCATAAAATTCGAAATAATATTTTTGAAAGATTTTTCCGCTTGAAACACACTGTAAACGTAGCACCTAATGGTGAACACCTAAACAGAGAATGCAGTTTGTTCACTGATGATGGACGATATGTGATTGTTGGTTCTGCTGTCTTTATTCCAGAAGATCGGCATTTCTTTGACATTTATAGGAACAATGAATCTATTTCACCAAACCCAAAATTCATGCTGGAAGACTATTCATTACATATTATTGATTTGGAGTCTGGAATTCTTTGTGACACACGAACATTTAAATGCGACAAAATCTTCCTTTCTCATAATCAAGGGATTTACCTTTTCAAAAACATTCTAGCAGTACTTTCTGTACAACAACAAACAATTCATATATTTCATGTTACATCTGATGGCAGTTTTATTGATGTTCAAACAATTGGTAGATTCTGCTTTGAAGATGATGCTTTAGTGTATTCATCATTACGTGTTGAACCACCACATCCCTCCCACAGGCAAGATAGTCAATATTCTGATCCTACTATTAACTCCCTCAAACATAGATTACTGGTTTTTCTTTACCGTAAAGCTCACAATCAAGGCACACCTGAGAGTTCCCGTCATTTCTTCAGATACTACCATCAGTTCCGATCTCTGCGGATGTGGAAGATGCAGCTGCTTGATGAAGACCACCTCTTGATTAAGTACTCAAGTGAAGCAGTTGTGTCTCTTTTATCACAAGATCCAAATTCTCTACCATCTTTCTTTGTTGTATATAACATGGTTACAACGGAAGTGATAGCAGTCTTTGATAACACTTCAAAACAACTATTGGAACTCTTTGAGAATTTTGGTGATTTGTTTCGCAATGCTAGTTTGCATACTTTCGCTCAATTTACCTGCTCTAGTAATATCTATGCTCGTCAGATTCAAGAACGATTCAAACATACAATAATTAATGCTAAATTTGGCGGCCACACTGAGGCTGTTAAGCGTCTACTTGCCCAGTTGCCCATCAGTTCGCAGTCTTACAGTAGTAGTCCTTACCTAGACCTGGCTCTTTTTAGCTATGATGACAAGTGGGTGTCAGCAATGGAGCGACCTAAAACATGTGGTGATCACCCAATTAGGTAAATATCCTTGAAAAACAAAATTACCAATTCTTATTCAATTTTATGGTGATGAAGATATTGATGATGAATTATGATGTAAAAAATAATTATGATAGATTTTAAAGATGATAGCATGATAATGATTTATTGAATAATGTGGCAGCTTAGGAATATGATGATGATGTAATAAAGATCCCAGTACTGATCATTAGGCTGTAGGTAAAGCAAATTGCAATAGAATTGCCTTCTCAACTACTTTTATTTTTTCAACAGATTTTATGCCAGGGATTCAGGGCTGCTAAGGTTCCGTATCCAAGCTGGTGGTCATGGGCGTCCAACATCACAGCAACCTACACCAAGACGCCTAGTAGCTTTCACATTTCATCCACATGAGCCTTTTGCAATATCAGTTCAAAGAACCAATGCAGAGTATGTAGTGAACTTCCATGTACGCCACCCAGTAGCATTAAATCATGATGTACGACCAAGCAAGACTGGCATCCCTTGGTAGCAATCCAGATGTAAGGCCAAGCAAGACTACCGTCCATTGGTAGCAATCACAATGTATGGCCAAGCAAGACTGCCATCCATTGGTAGCAATCTAGATGTAAGGGCATGCAAGACTGCCGTTACTTGGTAGCAATCACAATGTATGGCCAAGCAAGACTGCTGTCCATTGGTAGCAATCTAGATGTAAGGGCATGCAAGACTGCTGTCCATTGGTAGCAATCACAATGTATGGCCAAGCAAGACTGCTGTCCATTGGTAGCAATCCAGATGTAAGGGCATGCAAGATTGCCGTTCCTTGGTAGCAATCACAATGTATGGCCAAGCAAGACTGCCGTCCATTGGTAGCAATCTAGATGTAAGTCCAAGCAAGACTGCCATCCATTGGTAGCAATCTAGATGTAAGTCCAAGCAAGACTGCCATCCATTGGTAGCAAACTAGATGTAAGTCCAAGTAAGACTACCGTCCATTGGTAGCAATCTAGATGTAAGGCCAAGCAAGACTACCGTCCATTGGTAGCAATCTAGATGTAAGGCCAAGCAAGACTGCCATCCATTGGTAGCAATCTAGATGTAAGCAGGGGCGGATTTAGGGGGGGCGGCCCGGCCTCCCCTTTTAGGAGGTAAAAAAAAGAAGAAAAAAAGAAAAAAAGAGAGAAAAAGAAAAAAATGATAGCCCAGAATGCCTCAAATGTTATGTTCAGGCGTCTAGAACACAAAAATTTCGCGGGGGCATGCCCCAGACCCCCTACGACAGTGTTGTCTCAATCGACCCAACTTTCGGCTCCCGCTTCCGGCCCCCCCCCCCCTTTTGGACCTTTCTGGATCCGCCCCTGGTAAGTCCAAGCAAGACTACCGTCCATTGGTAGCAATCCAGGTAAGGCCAATAAAGACTGGCGTTCCTTGATAGCAATCAAGATGTACGGCCAAGCAAGACTGGCATTTCCTGATAGCAATCACAATGTATGGCCAAGCAAGACTGGCTTCAGTTGGTAGTACTATAATTCACTTGATTAAGAATTTATCCTGTTGCTTGGTGGGATAACTCTTATTGGACCTCTTTAAACTGAATTCTCCATGTTAGCTGTTATATTCTACAGTATGCTTCAAATTGATATTGTTGATATGATGGTCATGATAAAAGTGGATGAGATAAACATTTTATATTTATTTACTTTTTTTTTTTTTTTGTGCAATTCCTAATTTCTATATGCATTTATATAGATTAATAATCAGTATTTTCCCCGTGTTTCTTTCTTGCCAAAGTCCATGGAATAAATGTTTATTGTAAAATATCTGTTGTTTTCAGTCACTTTTATAAATTGATTCTGATTAAACATGAACATGAGAGAGGGGAGCAGGCTATTCACGACCATAGGCCCTACAAAATAATTACATAAATCATCAAAAAATTTACACCACCATATTGTCTGAAATACAGACTGATTATACAAATGACAGTTGCATTGATTTATTGTACCCTGGAGTGTTGTTACTAGTTAGCTGAAGAAAGTGCTACGTAATCACATAAAATACACAGCATGACGTATCACGCACTGGTGACGTATATGTGTGGTCACGACCATTTCTACACAATTCTTTCATTCACAAATTTAAACACAGAAAAAAAATGTAGTATTTTGTAACACAAAAGGAGCTACAGTACGACTAAGACTAGACCTTATAATATATAGTTTATCAACGCGAATTTTACGAAGTATTATGGTGGCATAGGCCTAGTACGTTTACACCAGTGTGTGACGTTATTGTGTGGAAAATAAAGATTCAAGAAATTCTTATTTATCCATATTTAAAATACACAGGATATTGTATTACATTGACATTAAAACAAAAATACAAACCCACAATATTTAAAAGAGTAAAATGTAAGAAGAGTACAGTAAAACTTTCAATGCTGAAATTACTTTTATTTACTGTTAAGTAAATGATATGTTAGTTGAACATGTGATTGGTATTTACAACAAAATACTTGTTCTGGGTAGTTTCGCTATTTTGAGGACGTAGACAGATTCCAGACTTATACTTGTATTGGTTAGATTGTTTATTTAATATAGTTGTTTAGAGCAAACACGTTTGGAAGGCCGGGTAGCCAGCCTGTACGAGACAATTAACTTTCAATCAGTTATGTGGACGTTATCATAACATTCCATTAGAAAAAAGTTTGCAATAGTATCTGATTGCGAAGTGGACCGAAATCTGGTTTCCTTAAAATCGCTACACTGTTGCTACAGTGTTTTCATTGCAAGCACTGTACTGTGTAGCGTGCCCCCGCGAATTTTTTGTCTCCCTGACGCCCGAAAATAACGTCTGAGACGTTTTGGGAGATCTTTTTTTTTTCTTCTTTCCGAAATTTCCTTTCCCGAATCCACCAGAGCCGTAGATAGAGAGAGTTTGGCCAACTTGGCGCATGGCGCCATGTTGTTACCAAACAGCGTCCACGAGTATTAGCTTTAACAACACTGATGCTGCATAAACTTTATTTTATTATTCTGTTCATTAGGACAATTCAAAGGGATTTTAATATATCCTATCGCGTTTGAGGTTCGTCAATGTTTTGTTTTGGTGACAACATGGCCGGTGTAAGTCATGTGATTGTGATCCACTCAATCACACGCGCGCATAGCAGAATCCTGTGAAACCAAGTTGGCTAAACTCTCTATATCTACGGCTCTGGAATCCACCCCTGCATATGGATTTCATTCTCTGAATGTAAAACTCTACGTTTCAATTCTTTTTGAAATAATTCATAGCCTGGAAATTAGGGCTACTGTATGAAAAGTGCCGCCACCATGTTCTTTTAAGCTTGACCAGCAGACCTGCCAACTCACCCGATTCTGTCGGGTGTCACCCGTCTAAACAAATCTCCAGTTGTCCCGATCGAATGTAATTTTCACTCGATTTCACTGATTTTACAGGTTCCCTCCACAAATACTCCTATTTATGCATATTTAATAATTGATTAGATCATTATTATTCAATGTATTCGCCGCGATAGACAAGCAGCAATTTAATAGGCCTAAGTTGTTTTGCAATAATTTTGTACCATTAATTTTATACCACTATGATTTGTCTTGACGTGTCTTTTTTAGTAACTTGCATCATCTTTTGGTTAATTCTAGAAACCTCCAGATTTTGTCGGTAAATCTCCAGATTTTCATGGCCCAGGGGTTGGCAGGTCTGTGACCAAGCCTCCACCACATTCAATTCATGCTACATCTCAACAAACAAATTAATTAATTAATTAGTTTGCTGTTCAAAACGTTTTTCTGTTGAACCATGAATACGCCAACGTAGGCCTTTATACCGTAATTTCTGACTAAATAAATTGCAAACGGTAATGCCGCTTATGTGCCAACAACCTAACAACGTTGACAGTGTTTGCCATCGTATGATAATTGTTGCTGCTGCCACCCACTACCGTACTCTTGGGTCTGTATACCTCAGCCCCCCCCCCCCCCTCCTCACTTCCCCGTCACGGTGTGGCTGAGGTGAGAATAATAATGATTATGGCACCTCTGGATAACCGGAAATGGCACTCTCAGGCTTAAAATTTTAATATAGTTTTCCTTCTTTCTCTATTATTCTTTAAATATTTAAAATTTTAGGCAGCCCGAGCGGGCTGCTCCCTCCACTCTTGAATTCGCCATTGCATACCTAATTACACTATTTTAACCCTTCCAGCACCACAGATGGGGCGGAGTAGCAATGTAGGACCATGGTTTCAGGGGACGGATCTTAAATTCCGAAGGAATGGGTCAAGGATTTATTTTACCTATGGACCCGGAGCTAGCTCCCCTTTGCCACTCTAGACTTCGCAACTGCCTTGTACTATCACATTTCATCTGTCGTAGTTATTTTCCCCAATGAAAAGTTCTGAACCCCCAAGCAAAGGAGGAAAAGCCTTTTACTACGCAAAACGAGACAACACCTTGTAACATTACATACATTCTGGGCATGCGTCGAAGTAAGCATTCATGCTAGGCATAATGTAGTAGGCCTACACGTATTAAAATTAATAGTAATATAGAATGAAATGAATCTTCATTAATAACAGACTAAATTAATAACTGTTCATATTGCTCAACAGCCATACGTAATTCAAAAAACGACGCTGCAAGGTATTATCTTACCTCCTCTACATTTACCTTCAAACTGGATTATTGTTTATGTGGACCTAGACATTTTACTGCGCCGGGGACTGTCAGTTAATTTTACTAATATACTGATAATTATATATATTAGGCATAGTTTAACAAGTCAGATAATTGTATTTTCATTTTATTTTTCTTCGTTGGCATCCAACAGCAAGTACCTTAACCATGATGGACAATGCTTTATGAACTAAGTCTCTGTGGCTTGGGAGTGGGTTTGTTTTATTGGTGAGAAAAAGTCCTGCTGTCACAGAATTGAATCTATGACCCTAAGATAAGAAGGCAAACAGTGCAGTATCATAAAAATCAGTAGGCCCTAGTTCCATATATATATATATATATATA